GGGGCGTTTATTTTTTACACACCAAAAATGCTAGTGAGACCAAAGTTTAATTCTTACATTTGCAGTGTAGGGTACTGGTAGATATGATGTTCTCCTAGTACCAGTCTATCTATATATCAACTGAACCTTCCTAAAGACACTGAAGATGTTGAAGATGTTGAAGATGAACCTACCTGTGGAGTAGGATACTGGTAGATATGATGTTCTCCTAGTACCAGTCTATCTATATATCAACTGAACCTTCCTAAAGACACTGAAGATGTTGAAGATGAACCTACCTGTGGAGTAGGATACTGGTAGATATGATGTTCTCCTAGTACCAGTCTATCTATATATCAACTGAACCTTCCTAAAGACACTGAAGATGTTGAAGATGAACCTACCTGTGGAGTAGGATACTGGTAGATATGATGTTCTCCTAGTACCAGTCTATCTATATATCAACTGAACCTTCCTAAAGACACTGAAGATGTTGAAGATGAACCTACCTGTGGAGTAGGATACTGGTAGATATGATGTTCTCCTAGTACCAGTCTATCTATATATCAACTGAACCTTCCTAAAGACACTGAAGATGTTGAAGATGAACCTACCTGTGGAGTAGGATACTGGTAGATATGATGTTCTCCTAGTACCAGTCTATCTATATATCAACTGAACCTTCCTAAAGACACTGAAGATGTTGAAGATGAACCTACCCGTGGAGTAGGATACTGGTAGATATGATGTTCTCCTAGTACCAGTCTATCTATATATCAACTGAACCTTCCTAAAGACACTGAAGATGTTGAAGATGAACCTACCTGTGGAGTAGGATACTGGTAGATATGATGTTCTCCTAGTACCAGTCTATCTATATATCAACTGAACCTTCCTAAAGACACTGAAGATGTTGAAGATGTTGAAGATGAACCTACCTGTGGAGTAGGATACTGGTAGATATGATGTTCTCCTAGTACCAGTCTATCTATATATCAACGGAACCTTCCTAAAGACACTGAAGATGTTGAAGATGAACCTACCTGTGGAGTAGGATACTGGTAGATATGATGTTCTCCTAGTACCAGTCTATCTATATATCAACTGAACCTTCCTAAAGACACTGAAGATGTTGAAGATGAACCTACCTGTGGAGTAGGATACTGGTAGATATGATGTTCTCCTAGTACCAGTCTATCTATATATCAACTGAACCTTCCTAAAGACACTGAAGATGTTGAAGATGAACCTACCTGTGGAGTAGGATACTGGTAGATATGATGTTCACCTAGTACCAGTCTATCTATATATCAACTGAACCTTCCTAAAGACACTGAAGATGTTGAAGATGTTGAAGATGAACCTACCTGTGGAGTAGGATACTGGTAGATATGATGTTCTCCTAGTACCAGTCTATCTATATAACAACTGAACCTTCCTAAAGACACTGAAGAT